TTCTCTTTTACACTTGAAAATTTGACGTATATATTACTTTTATTCACTTCTGCAAATATGAACGAAACGTCGCTTTAAACTACGGATACGTATTGCGCGCGTCCACGAAATTTGGAAATTTTTATTTACGAAAAAAGGGTTAATTTCGAAGAGAGGTCAGCGACTAAACTCAAACCTAGCGTATCGCGACTACGGCTTTTATATACGATGGCAAGTCTACGGTGTATGGTGGGGTGGATGAGCAACGTCACCCTCCGGATGCGCACCTGCGTCGGTGACGACAAACTTCATGCCAGTGAACGAAAACAATTATCGTAGGTGGAATTTAATTGGAAATTTATAACACGAGACATAACGAGATTTTTATAGTAGCCCCAGACCGAAAGCGCATTTAATTTGGATTAATCACGTATTATTTAAAAATTAATTATTTACATAGCTATTTCAATGGTACGAAAAAAATTGCAATTATAAAAAAGATTCTTATAATTACTTCAACTGAAATTTAAATTTATGTATTCTTCTCATGTATTTTCATCTCAGAATTATTTAATTCACATACCTTTAATATATTTTATTTAGTTTATATAGTCTAGTGCATTTGGAATGCTTTAGGCGTTTATTTTATTCATGCGTGTACAAATGAAAGGATATAAAATTTAGACCAATATAAGCGCAGATCTACAATGTCATGTACATCTACGATATAACTTATTCAGAATTGAGAAGTAACGCATTATTTGTAAAGCCGTTACTTTTTTTCTGGTAAACATCATTACTGTTTTCTGTTTATAATGATAATGGTAATGTCGTTACATTTTACAGTAACGAATCAGCCGTTATTTTATCATTACTTTAGTTTCTATTGGATGAATCGGATTGCATATTTCGATACTGTTGGCGCTGAAAGATGTTTTGCATTAATGTCTCTAGAAATGTATTGTACTTCAAATTATTCAAGTTGTATTGTTGTTATATTATGATAAACGAACGAATACAGAAATTTTTTTAAATGCAAGTATGCAAATATGTTTACAATTTAACATTGTATTATATATAATAAAAGATTATATGCAATAAGTGTAATCATAATACAATATGTCTATTTTTTCATTTCTCTTTACTCATTACTAAGATATTTTATATTTTATATTTTAGACTGCGTTCCAATAGTCATTATCATATTGAAAATATATAATTTATATTACATGTATACAATGGATTTTCAATACTTGAAGTGAATCTTAAAATATATTCTTTTATACTGTGTAAATAAGTTACAATGATATTAATGTTTATAAACATATTTGATTTAAATTTAGTAATTGTTGAGTTCAGCTATCTCACATGCAATTGGCTAAAATTAGGCTTATTTGACATGTTTTCATACAAAATGATCAAATCTGATAAAAACAAGCGTGACTGTTCTGTGAACTGAGATATTAATCATTAAAATTCATTATTCAGGTTAGGGAACCTGTTACACTTATGAAAAGCAGCGACATGAGCATGTGTTATTTAAATAAATTTGGCATAAATTTCATTTAAATATTTCAAGATATGACACAAAAGAATCATATTAATAGGTCATTTGACTGAATTTATTTTTAAAAAATTGATATTAATGAACGAATTAAAGAATTTTTTTTAATAATTGGTAAATTATTTACAATTTAAAACAAAATAATATTTACTAATATTTTATGTTGTTGGAAGATACATCTTGCAACATCAATAAGTTCCTCAAAATAAAATACATATTTTCTGTTTTAATTTAATAAAATTAACACTAATTTCCTTTATAATTTAAATTATAGCACAGAATAATTTGTGATTCAAAATGTATGTCTACGTATTCTCTGCTTTAATTAAAAAATATTTTCTTATACAAATATTTTCTTATGTAATTAAAGTATATCAATAAATTTGAAAGCATATGCTTACGTACAGCTGTTTTTCTTCAATATAACAGGTTTCCAAACATGAATAGTGATAAAAAATGATTAATATCTTGGTTCTCAGAAGGCGATTATTTTTAATAATACCAGACTCGGTTGTTTTGTGAAAAATATCTAATTTTATCAATACTGGACGTAAGTGAGCTAAACTCAATAATTTTCTGAAAAATAACGAAAAAGTAATAACAACGAATAACTTTTTAAAATGAGAAATTGTATATTTTTTTAAATTAGCTCTGCTTATTCTCATTCATTGACTGAATATTAAGAGTGCATGTAGTATAAATAGCATGGATTCAGAAATTAGATAGAAAAATATTAAAATTAGAGAGAAAAATATTGAGTCGGGGAAAAAGTTTCTTCGTATACTTAAAAATTTTTTTACAAAAATTTTTCATTTATTGCAAAATTTTCATTACAATTATATCATTAAAGCAAAATTTCAGCTTTAAGAATTTGTTTTTTAAATTGCGGTATAATGATTTTTATCGGAGTTATGAGCAATCAAAGTCAGAATGCTCCTTTACTTCACTCGCGAATAATTCAGCAAAAAAGAATCATAGGAACATTTTTAAAAAATGATTTTGTAGAGAAAGCTTCAAGCTTTTACAATAAGTAGTAGTAGAAAATTTTTTTTTGAGCACATGAGAAACCTCCAAAGTGAAAAGAAAATTTTTCATCTTTTTTAGCTCGTAGTTTTTTAAATGTAAAAATTATCAAATAAATAGAAACTCGAAAAATAATAACTTTTCGAAAGTAGTATTTCAAGCTTTAAAACTCTTTTTTTTAATTTAAGTTTTGTTCATTTTTGACAAAGATATTGTATATACAATTTTTTAAATTAAAAAATATGAAGAAACTTTTTCCCCGACTCAATATTTAAAGAAAACTTGTGCTCGTAATTTTTTAAGATCATTTCTCATAAATATCAAAAAATTAGGTAAATACAAATAAAATTAGATAGTTCATCCTTTAAACATTTCGAGTAAAAAAGTTCTATAATTAGTTGAAATGTATTTTAGCAGAGAATGATCGCTAATGATCTAAATAAAAATTATATGTAAAAGATGAGACATTCAATTCTTCTCAACATAATTACAAATTTTAATATAAGTATTTAAAGATCTTTAATTTAATTTAACCTTTTATCAACATGTCTGATAATTCTTATTATTAAAATTTATATTACAAGTCACATATCAACTAACGAAATTGTAATAATATTATATGACATGCATCATATTTCTAGAGAATTGCAGCGTTATTGCTAGTTTAATTTGTTGAGATATGATTCTGACATCATATGAATGCAGAACTTATTATATATAATTATAATATATATCTGGAGAAAAAATACAATTATGTATGAAATATTTCTTCCAAAGTATATAAATAAAATCTTTCGCTGAAATGTCGCGCACACTACATTTAAAAAGTATGATCACAAAAAATATTTCTCGGAATGCACTATCATTTTGATGAAAAATAATAGTGCGTTCCGAAAAATATTTTTTTTTGATGTACTTTTTAAATTATTTAAATGGACCAAAGAATTTTGCATAATGACGCGAGAAGAGCGCAACAAGTTTCTGGATAACTGTGGATCAGCTGGACTTCCACAAGTGATATAGTAGATAAATATCGAATGCGTTGCATCAATGTCGCGGAAGTGTTAGTTACTTATGTCGTTAATTTAGCGCTGAAATATTACTATGTTTCCTGATAAAGAAATACGAACATTCCTAGATTCCTTGCAAATGCATATGGCATTTATATATCGGGTCAATAAAAGTGGAATGCTACA